ATGGGATGAGCCCGAACAGAGGATGAGGAGGCAGCGTTTCTTGCTGGCGAGAGCCTGGAATGGCTATTGCTGAAACGCCGGTTTGATGCCAGATCTGGTTTATTGGAATTGATACAAAACCACATGCACCGTGCAGCCAGCCTGCGCGCACAAGATACTTACCTCCCTTACACAAGAGGCCTTATCTCTGCCTGCCCACACCCCTCAGCATTTGATAGCTACATGTGCATGTATACAGTTCTTGCTCCGTATCCTACACCTATTCGGAAAACGCGTCCAGAGACTCTTGCGTATGAAGTTTACCCTATCGAGCAGGAGGTTATGATCTTGGCCATGTGCAGTTGCATCCTATTGCAACTCGAATCCACAGCTGTCTTTCTCACCACAATGGCCTCAAATCGCTAGATGACGTTGGAGACCCTCAGAGCCGCTTCTAGCCTTGCGCTTTTTCCTATCTCTTCCTCCACCTGATAAGAAACGATCAAGTGACCCCGCCATGGCCAACCAACCACCCCAATAATCGTTATGTAATAGCGGTCTCAGCCAGTAAAACATGAGTCAAGGAAACTGAATTTATTTTATTTCAAATAAATAAATAGATAAATTCGATAAAATGGAATTTATTTAATTTACATAAATTAATAAATAGACCGCCAGACCATCCTCCGAGGGCAAGCGGTAGTCGGAGATACGACCAACTAGTGCGTGGTAGGCAATTCACCCATAACTCCGACCCAGGGACTAAGACAAAACGACGCAACTCCCACATCAATCCGTCCAAGTTGTGCCTCTAATCCTATTTGCGATTCTATCCTAGAAGAGCAGCATCTATTCCCAACCCAGATATCTATCGAACCACGCACAGCCAGGGGCACGGTAGGCCACTAAAAACAAGAGTCGACGGATCTGATCCGATCGATCTAAAACTGTCACCTTATTTGCTGGGACGTGTTCTAGAATGCAGTTTAATTTTTCTTCTCGCGGAAGAGCAGTGTTTTAGGTGCAGCGCGGCGAAATCCGTAGTCCTACGTATTTGATACAGGGTAGATGGATTGAATGAGTAGCCATCCTCATCCAGACACGGGGTTTAATTGCAGGAGATGCGTAGAAAGGTTGTCTCAATGTGTCCCAGATAATTAACTAAATTTGGTTTCTTGACCATAGACAACCAATGACTAGATCTTGTTGCCAAGTGAAAGAATAAGATACATATGCACCGAATTGAGTTCTTTATCCTTTGGGGGAAAGTGCTATCAACAACACTATATAGCGACATATATATAGTCATACGCGGGGAGCTTACAAGTAATATTAGCCTGCTCGTCCTACACACCGATAATGTCAAATTGACTAAAAGTAGAATGAGAGAGTCCACAATACGCTTAAGACATTCAACATAAAACAAGGAAGGGCAAAATACGACAAACATCATTTTCATACTTATCATTCGCTATTACAGGTTAGCCAAAAGGAAGAAAAAAAAAAAGGGGGATAAGATAGGCAAAAAAAGTAACCACTTCGTCTCAATCGAACTGTTATAGGAAAAGCCCAATGCGGGGGTCGAACCCGCAACCTTGAGATTACAGAACGTGTGTCTTAAGAGTCTCACGCTCTACCGATTGAGCTAACCGGGCAATCACATGACCATTGACCAATCAATGGCTACGAAATTCCGATCAAGCAGAAGCGGCTTGTTGGAAGCACGAGAAATATTTTGAATAATAAACTTTACACTAAAAATGTTTGCGTTTCAAAACTTTTGGCTTTTCATTCACAAGGGAAGACTCTATGATTACAATGGGGGGATTTGGGGGTGCTCTTCTTTTCACCGATTGCCTGAAGTAATACCTTTGAGAAGTTATGAATCTAGTTCAATTGTTATTACACAATACATGCAGCGTGCTGTGTGGATGCCGAAGTGTACGTCTTGTTGCCTGTAAGGAAAAGGGTACCTTGACGATAGCTTACTTCAATGGAGATGAATGTCGAAATCAAGGGAAGGAGAAAGTATTACTGGACAGTATACAAAGTTGAGTTAACTAATCTATTAGCTTTCGTTTAGTGCGATAAAGATCAACATCTATCTGTCAAAAATAGCAATATAGGCGCGGAGGCAATATATTTCTCGCAATAGGAGTAGCACAATACGCTGTACTAGGATGCGTTGAAAGAATACGAGACAAAGACGCTGCTCGGCGGAAAATGCCACAAATGCATGATTGTATGGGTGTAGTGCTGTGATAGGATTAACATTAGTAGGTCCCATACTGAGTTAGTGCTACTTGATGATACTCATGTGTGACTGAGGGCATCCCAATTCTACGCTACAGAATAACGAAGGATTACTGAAGTCATGAAAAGTCAGATGCTGAGAGTTAAGGAAAATTGTATAAAAGATATCTACATGTACTTAAGCCAACTAGTACTAGCTTTCCTATCTACTCATAGCCTTCCTTCGTTACCATACTTTTGATGGTAGTACTCCTCTCCCAGCGATACACTCCTAGCCGCGGAGTATAATTAAGGTAGTTAATTTATTTTTGAGTAACGTTGTGAGCCAACCCATTAACTCTATAGGGAGACACAACTTGTGCCCATGAGACAAATTTGGCAGCATTTATCATTGCTGTTGTCGCGCTCTGTATATAAACTGGGTCTGCCGCATGCGCATCAAGCTGTGGCAATGGAGCAACCTAACACTGACGCTTGGAAGAGCTTGATATGGAGTCGAATAAGCTCCCAACGGCGGACTACTCTCCTCTTCTTCGGATTTCCGATCTCAAAAGGCGCGGATCAAGTGAAGAAGGCTGCCAATTGTCGCCCCATTCTCTTTCTGCGGGGAAAGATGTGAAAGATCCCGCGTATCATGAATCTCTTGGCCCTCTAGCAAAACGAGCTCGCAGCTGTACTGGAACAAATCCGACTTTCGACACGATCCAAAAGGCTTTCGGCGACGCCTTTCAGTATTCTAGATTGTCAATACTATTTTCAACGCTTGCTATACCTCTGATTGCCCTGGTTACCTGGCTTGCGTCTACAGCACCGGAACTTAAGCTCTTCGGCTCATTTGCTGGGTTAGTGATTGGCGGCCGTTTTTCTCAAAGCACCGCAAAGGCTATCGAAATTCTTTGCAGTGGATTCATGGCCCCAGCTTTAATGACTGTCTTAAATGTGATTTGGTTTGGCTCTGCGCGTCTGGCCATGCGCGCGTCTCGAGGCAAGCCGCAAGAGCAACAACGAAGAATACCTCTAGCGACCTTGGTGACAGCCAGTGGTATGTCCACGGGCAGTTATAATGTGATGGACTTTATTTCGCTACGGAGGGGGCGGATGTGGCGACTGTATTGTCTTATACTGCTTTCTTTATCATCTGCTCTCTCTTGGACATCTCTATCCAATATCATCGCCTATGAGGCTTACACGGAAACTATTCCATCCAATACCGAATATAAGCTTAGAGCACTCAACGACATGGAAATTGATTCTACAACACGCACCTCTGATAGTATAATAGGCCAGGCGAATGTTCTTGAGCCACAAGCCAGTTTCAAATTTAACATACAACAAGAAGCCAGCATCTCTGAGCAACTTACGAACCTCTTGAACCAGATGTTGTTATCCAATTCATCAAGCCTTGACTCTGAAGGAGGCTATGTTGTCGTCAACGCGACGGATATCTCGTTAGTAAACTTAGAACCGTCAGTGGTGGCACTCTATAATATACCTGCGTTTCGCTTAAGTGCGACCTGCCAACCCTCACTGCTTCTTCCTTCATCTCTGGACCCTGTACAGATGGGTGAAGATGCTGTTCAAATGCATGCAACGCTCATCTCACCAAATAGTACTGGCCAGATGTACTACTACTGGTATCCCGGTGTTAAAGGGGATATCAAATCCGGGTACACTTCAGAACTTCCATTTGTGCTCTTCTCGCTTGATTATCAACATGCAGTTCTGGGCTATATGCATACACACAATTGGAATAACAGCGTTCTAACGCAGTACGGCGAGATTAAGCCTGTAGTATTGAATCTCACTTCGATCGACAGCACTGTGACCACCTACTCTCTGCATTGCTCTCTCCTTCGCCAAGAGGGACTCGTCAACTATACTCGTACAGCTGGTCAAACAGGGAGGGTATCTGAGTCACAGTTTCAGCCATCTAAAAGTCCACAACGTTCGTTTATCGGTGACTGGCAGGTTGTGCTCAACTATCACGCCATGACGGAAACAGGCACGATCCCTGGTATCGCATCTGCGATTAGCGGAGGCTTAGCTTGTGCAGTTGGTGATGGGCAACTTGCGACCTGTCCATCAATCAACTTTTCGACACTCGCCTCCAACTTTGTGCTGGCATCAGGTCGCGCTCAGAGTATACTATTCAACGTCGCTGCAATGAACTCTTCCCGCGACCGACCAGAATATTTCTACAATGTGACGGGTGCAACAATGCAGCAATTTTATCACATCACCTACGTTCCAGCGCTACTTCTTGCCAGCCTGCTTAGTCTTACCATTGCAGCGTCTACGGCAGTTGGCATGACTGTATACGCGAGATATATTCAGAGAGATAGCATGAGAGAATTGCATGAAGCAACTACACTACGGCTTGTAGTTAATAGCGGGGCGGGAACATTGCAAGATATAGCCAGCATGGCTAGGCTGGCTAACTTGTCTGATAACCAACTTCAAGAAGCAGCCAAGGAAGTCTATATTATTATGTATTAGATACTTGGGTTGGATACCGGTGAAGACCTAAGTCTTCGTCAAAGAGACTTGTAATTAATCAAGCTAAATATAAATAAAGGGATTATAGCTTGTAAACCTATAATTAAGGGCCTCAAATGCCTGGTAATAAAAGTAAATTTCCTCGAGTTTTATCTAAGCTAGATGGCTGTTGGGCTCGGCCATTTTTCAGTTTTGAAGCTGTGCAACATATTGACAATATAGGCATAGTTTGCATGAGTGCTTTCACAACAAGGAGCTAGCAAGGCTCCTAAGCCCCTCTGGCCTAATGGCTAAGGCGCAAGACTTCTATTGCAATGAATCTTGAGATTGCGGGTTCGAGTCCCGCGAGGGGTTTCGCTCGAAAGCGAGCTTTTTGCTTCTATTTATTCCAAAGAGAGGACCATATTTCTTCCTTCTCCTTCTCCCTTTTTTTTTTCTTCTTCTTTATTCCTCCTCCGTTTTCCTTGTTAAACAAAGCCTGTTATGTTATATATAAATATATAAAGGTTTTTTTGACCCCACTGGTTTTTTTTTCTACATACCAAGTGCGCCACATTCAGTCGTCTCAACTGAGCTACCATCTTTTTCTCAGTGTCGCTGCGGCCAGCAGATGTTTCGCCAGTCTATCGTCTGATAATTGGACGCATTGTACTTCGTACAGAGCATTATTATGTAGGTACCTAATTATGGCCGCGTGGGTGTCAAAAAAGGCACGTGCAGCTACCACTTGGCAGCTGGTGGGGGGAGCTATGGCCTGCTGCACACATCGCCAGCCTTGTAAGGCGTAGACGCATCATTTACGCAGCTATGGAGCCGGATCATATATATAAGGGAATTGCTATTCAGCAACCCAGTTTCATTATCTAGCAACTTAGCCGTCACCCAGCGAAGCAGTCAGTCCATACATGAGAATATTTAACTAAGATAGAAAACATAAGAATAATAAACAGCAGCAGAGGCAGCAGAGGCAGCAGAGGCAGCAGAGGCAGCAGAGGCAGTAGGATACTAGTGTAGGTATATGTAATCGTAGTAGTTTATGGCTTTAGCTACAGCTGGGGTGTTTGGATAATAAAACCGGTGTATTGAACGCAATCCCCTCCCTGAATCAATTTAACGATTCCAAATCTTATGCTTTGGTGGCCGTAATGCACACGCCCCCGAGCTCACGACCGGCAAACAATGCGTCAACCGTATCGTAGAATAGAGTAAGTGGTGCCTCACCTGTCCCTCTTTGTCGATTGCCGACTGCTCTTTCGTGCACGAACTTGGCCCATTCTTCTGACACTTCCTCAAAGTGAATGTTGTGAAATCCTGCCTTTCTCAGATCGGCTATGTACTGGTCACGGCTCGGTAGGTAAGGACAAGACACAATGTCGCGCAATTGGTCGCCAACCTCCTTGCTGAGCGCCGTTCGAGCGAAATAATCCTCAATGTAGATTTTACCGCCTGGCTTCAGGGTACTGGCTGCTTTTTGGAACAGCGTGTCCCTGTCAGGGATGTGTAGAATGCATAGGAACGAGACAATGTAGTCCACAGGGCTATCCACCGTGAGCTTTGTAAAGTCTGCGTTGACTGAGCGCACACCTCCCGCGAGACCGTTTCGCTCGGTGATCGTCTCGGCGAGCTGGTGAATTTCGGGCTGTAGCTCGATGCCCGTGACTTCAACGCCACACCGCTTGTGCAAGTAGCGACCGGTGGCGCTGAAGCCTGAACCGATGTCGACAACTGTCTGGCCACGTTCCATACCCAATGCCCGGCATGCTTTTTCCAGGGCAGCGTCGCCTAGATAGTGCATGCAATCAAAATCCTCTGTGTCGCTGAGATCCCACTTGGGTTTGCTAGAGAGAGTATCAAGCCGTCTCCTAGCTCTCCTCAAATCATATAAAGCTGCACCGCTAATTCCAGTCTCGTCACTCCAGTTGGTGTTGCTGGTATCGCCCATTTTGAATCAGACGGATTAGTTTAATTGAAGAAGACGATTCTAAAAAGATAGTATTAGAAGTGATGGTCATAAACACTGGCATGGATTACCAGACTGGTGTCTTGATATGGTATCTGGGGAGATCTTACGGTTTATGCCGTGTTAATATATCCAATCTATCACTCCTTTCGTGCCCTTACTATGGAGATGTAATGGGATGCAATGAACGAAGGTACTGTTGAGATATTTGACTAGCTGTACTACGCCCGAGAATCTTGATGATAGCGAAGGAGAGGATCAGGAGGGAGAGAGCGGTCTGGTAGTCATGTCGCAATAATAAGCCTTAAACTTAAAGAAGAGCTAACGCACATGACGCCCCCTTACATATCTCCTTTTCTTGTCAGATACACAATTATAATTCCGGTTTATATAGCTAGAAAATAGCATAAAATTATGATTATAGAGTAGTGTTAGCTATCTAATTATGAATAATAATGAAAGATCCATGCAGCTTAGTCGCTTAATGTCGAAAAGCCCATTTTATTTGAATTGTTGATTGTAGGCCTTATAAGGCCCATTGATGTAACCACATCTACGATGTCAATATATATATATCAATATATATATCAATATATATATATATATATTTAGCTAAAGATCGGGAGAAGAGCATAAGTATGCATATGCCATATGTCATTTATTTATGGCCGTCTAAACCCACTGGAATTACGGAGTAACGGGGTAATCCATTAGATATATGCTCGTTGAGTTTGCCCTGGCTGAGTAAACTTGATCTAGCTATGCACGTAAATGCACTACCAAACGATAAAGGCATAGCATCATGCACTACGTACTTGAAAATACCGCATATCTCCCTTGCAAATGAGACCTTTTCATCTTCTCCAGCGCTTGGATATCCTACTCCTGTAAATACGTCATCACCCAAATGCTTCACTATAATTGTGCATCAGCCGCTAATATCTCAAATTTGCGGAGCACGGATATTAACGGTATAGATTGCGCTAAAGGTTAGTGGAAAAGCTAAATCGTGTGTGAGATACACACCTTCTTGTTTCGGCATCTATGTTTCAACTTCTCGTAGAGACACTAACCAGATGTTGTTCGTCAGAATACTCGTAGAAAATAGGCCATGATTGTACACACAAGTCAATCAGTGGAACTTGAAAATGTAAATTGAACAGTAGCCACTTGCTTAGAATCCATGCACGGCCAAAGCCGCAAGTGCTTAGCCAAGCACAACGTATGTGTTCTCTCTTTCCTACAGATATCAATATGTTGAGCTACCAAAACTTATTACTAGGCTAGAATATATAGCTCCACTGACTGTAATATTATTAATAATAAGCATCAAGGTACTGTTTAAGAAACTTTATTAGAAAGTAAATCTACTTATAAGCATTAATATAAGTCAGTCTTAGGCATTAGGATTTCTTCTTCACTTGCGAGTGGATTGCTCCAAGACAAGGTTTCTCCGAGCGGTGCTTTAATATTTATCACTAAAATTATCTAGTAGAGCTATATGTCTTAATCCAGCAACGTCCTATCCACCAATCTAGTACTATTAAAGGTATTGTCTCTGCTATATAAGTTCTATTTGCTAAATGGAAAAGAAAGTCGTTATAAATAGGAAATGGATTTATTATATATTGAGGGCGTTAAGCCAGGACTAAGATACGGGTAGTACAATAGCTAATATACCATCTGAATTACAAAATTCAGCTTCCCTAGGGGTAAACAGCAATGCCTAACTTTCTGATGGTATAAATAGGCTGAATCATATCGTTATTGCAGAAGGGGTAATGTAATGAGAGGGAGTATGTAATATTTTATCTGCTAAACTAGTGCTATTTCAGGTATTGTATTTTACTATATAAGTTATACTAGTTTAACTGTCTTTCTAGTGAACACTTTAGTAAGACTTTGGAAACTTATGGAGCTATAGGGCGTCTTACGTCTCACGTCTTACTAATGTGCCCAAAACATACATAGGAAGACATAGAAGTGATAAGCCATAAACATTTGCGAAAACCTATGTTCAGGCAGGGTAGGAAAGCCGCTTTTAAGATTAAGCCTGACTACTCTCCTACGCAAAGCCTAGCAAGTACTGCTGGCTGAAGGCCTGCAAAACCAGGAATTCTATCTTGCCTTTAGAGGATAGGAGGACAGGTTTGTCTCGGAAGCAGCCCAATGCTCGTGAAACATAGCTTACTAGCTTCACCTATCATTTGAAACCAGCAAAAGCAACGCTTACTAGAAACCAGCGGTAGCCTCTCCACCATGCAAACGAGCCACTATATACCAGATACAAGATGCTCATTCCGGCTCTTTATGAATTGCCGCTGGGCATAACTCTTTATGCCGAACCTATGGGGCTAAAACTGAGCCTTTGCAGATGTACCAAAGTTATGTTATTCTACTATATGAGGATAGGCCTATGTCTCCGAAATTGCCTCTAGATTGGCGCTTAAGGCTACATCTTTAGATAGTATAAATTAGTTTTGTTAAGGCATAAGGGAGGGAGGCGGGATGTATGAGAAGTGGTGGCCCGAGACCGCCAACTCTTTCTTGCCATACGGTGGACATGCAGATTAAGTTCAAGTTTAAATTCCTAAGAAATATAATTGTGATCCTATTGACATCATATTTCGTAAAGAGAGACATTCATACAAATTCACATGATCTCCCTTACATACGTACTTGTATAAGAATCGCTTGCTGTCGCTCCTCATACACCTTTTCATTTCCACTGCTTGCATAACTAGCTTTACAACTTCCTTTACTTAATAACAAGCTAAACAATCCTACTGAACTTTTATTTGACAAACACTAGATACCCGCACTCGATATGTATTTCCTGAAGTTTGTCCCTATCTTTCATGCTGCCCTTGTGGCTGCGCAGGATAACAACGGTGACCAAGTAAGTAGATGATAAATTAATGACAATATTCCAGCGGCTAACCCTCCCCAAAGAGCGTCATATTTACTGGATTCAACTTCCAAGGCAGGTCCCGGGTTATACCGACGAGAGGGCCGTGTATTAACCTGGCCCCACCGTTGTATGTGATATCATCTATGCGAAATTATGTCTTAAATTAACATAGGATCAGTCGGTATCAAGTCCGCTCAATTCAGGTCGCCGATGGGGCTCATTGTGAAATATATGGGTAAGTTGTTGCCATGCCTCACCTTTGTTCCGATGAGACGCTTACATTCACCTAGTGACCGTGGTTGTAATGGCATGTTGGATGATATAACCGATAGCAACCCACAGGTTCAAGAGGGGTCCCAGGTCGTATCTATTCGCTGCGTAGAATTTGATCAATAAAACCAAGGGCAAGGGTCAGCTTACAGCGCTCTTATGGGCGGCTAGAGAGTATGTCACGGATCTCTGTATAGGTTTTTAGCCCTTCTA